GAGAGAGGAACGAGGCGGGAGGAAACCGAAGCCACTGAGCCGGAGAGCAGGACAGGCTTTGGTTGCTAGAGGGCCGGCAGGCACTTCGGGGGCCTGGCGGCAATCAGGGGGCTGATCTGAAACTATGGCTTCCTCCCTCCCCTTCTTTGCGGCCCGGTACAAAATGATCCACGGACCGGTACCGGTCCGGGGCCCGGTGGTTGGGGACCCCTGCCCTAGGATGAAGAGGGGTGTGGGCCTGGATCTTCCTCTGATTTCCCTCTGCCTTGCTCTACCTCTCCCCTGCTCTGCCCAGCCGGACTTTGCCCTTCCCCAGTTTCTTCCACAGCCACCGGAGCCACACTCCCACTTCCTGTCAGCTGCTTGGACTCCCCCTCGGAATCAGATTCCGACAGGGGTATGACATATGGTCACAGAGAAACCAAAGTAATCTGGTACGGTTATCCCAGTCTAAATTTGTTCAATTGTTCTTATTAATCAAAAACCAACATGGACAAGGGTAAATAATTATAAAAAGAATCCTAACCCAGTTTCATATATTTTATTTGCTGTCTCTATCTGTTTAATGAGTCATTTTTCATCTAGGCCAGAGATGTTAAACTCATGGCGCACGGGCTGGATGCATCACACACTGGCTACGCCCACCCATTTTAGCAAAGGTAGGAAAAGTTGTGATACTTCAGGTGATGACAACATGATGTTGCAAGTTTGACACCCATGACCTAGGCTTTAAAGATATACATTGCAAATACATTGGAGATGACCAATAAACAAATATTACAATAAAATAATACTTAAAATGGCAGATTGATTAACTGGATTAAAAATGGCTGGACCGACTTCTACTATCAGTTCTCTTTTTTTTAACTCTAATTGTTGACCTAACAGTTAAGTGATTGTACAATGAAAAATGCAAGCTGGTGGCTTAGATATAGAGCTGTTTAATATGATAAGTTTTTACGTTGCTCATGCACAGAGAACAGTTCAATCAGACTTCCATTTAAACTATCAATTTTTATTACAGCGTTGGATTGGTTAATTGTTATAAATGCTATTTCTACTGTAATTTATATGTTTGACCTATAGGAAGTGCCTCTTTTCCATCTTAAAATGTTATCTCAAGCCAGACCTCTGCAGTGATCCAATCTGAAGCAGTAGCTTGGCTTGGAAAATTGTGTTACTCCATGGCAACCTTTAAAGTTAGGCATCCATTACCTGCTTTAATCAAGTGGAAAGGTGCTACTGTACAGTTATATAGTAGTCCATGAGTGTGAGGGGAAAAATCTCCTTAACATCTGGATAAAACTGGGCTGATTGTTGCAATCTTGTATTTTGAAAAGTGCTTGAGTGCTCTGTGTCACAGGGATGCTTCAATTAAAAACAAATAAGTGCCAGCCAAGAGTTCACCATGGACAGCACTTGGCAGACAGCAAAGGATGAAGAGTAGAGGTAGGAACCAGGACACTAGATTGGACCTCTTACATTCCATGACTTCCAAGCCCAGGCATCTGTGACTCTATGAAATTTGTCCTCTACTTAATAATATAAGGAATCAGTTTTTCAGCATCAGAGAAAAAGAATGGGGATTATGGCTATTAACAGCATATTAACAATCATTGTTCATAATTGTCCATAGCTATATAGACAATTAGCAACTATCTAAATTTAGCAAGTATGTTAGTTAGACCTGCTATTTTGGCACATAATCCATGTTGATAGCATTAGATTAAAGGTTAGGCATAATTTTCCAGTTCATGATATTGAACTGAAATGAACTGAATATTTATTTGGCCAAGTGTGATTAGAGGAATTGGTCTCCGGTACAGAAGCTCTCAGTGTACATACAAAGTAGCTAAATGAGGATAATAATAATAATAATAATAATAATAATAATAATAATAATAATAAT